TTTTTGTTGTATAGCCACATTTCTCTTTTGTTTCATTTACTTTCTTCCTCAAGTTATTCCTTTAACATTTCTGGTAGTGCATGTCTTGTACTGATAAATTTTTTCAGTGGTTTTATGTCTGACATATTTGGCCTTTTGAAAGATACTTTTACTAGGTATAAAACTCTAGATTGCTTTTTCCCTCCTTTTAGTGCTTTACAGATGTTGCTTAATTCTCTTGCATTATTTCCTATGAGAAGTCTCTAGTGTTTATTTTTGTTCCTCTGTAAGTGTTGTGTTGTTTTTCTTTGACAGCTTTTAAGATTTTTCTTTTTATCATTGGTTTTTGTCAATTAGATTATGATGTACCTTGCTGTAATTTTCTTCATGATTTTCCTCCATAGGGTTTATGGAGCATTTTGGATTTGTGAGTATATATTTTCATTTAATTTGGGGAAAACTTCAGCCATTATTTCTTCAAAATTTTTTTTTTCCTTCTCCTTCCTTTGTTTTGGGCCTCAAAATACATGTATATTAGGCCATTTTAAAATTGTTCCATAATTCACTAATGGTTCTGTTCTTTTTCATTGTTTGAGTGTCTTTCTCTGTTTTATTTTGAATGTTCTGTGCCTTCAGGTACCCTATCTTCTTTTGCAAGACTTAATCTGCTGTTAATACTCTGTAGCATCTCAGATGTATTTTTCATCTTTTTGATTTAGGTCTGTCTTTATCTTTCCTGTTCTATTTAGCATACTCATGCTTTTCTCTACCTTCTTGAACGTATGTAGTTATCATTGTTGAAATTTTTTTAACTAGTTCTGTCATCTGCCATTTTTGTATTTCTCTTGATTTTTTTTTTTCTCTCTTCATTATGAATCTTATTTTCCTGTTTCTTTGCATGCCTGGCATATTTTGATTGGATGCCAGACACTGCGTTCCAACTATCGTGTGCTAGATAATTTTATTCTCTTAAATATTCTTGATTTATTCTAAGCTGTAGTTAAATTATTTAAGCTTTTCATAGTTTGCTTCTAAGCTTTGTTAGGCAGAATCAAAACAGATTTTAGCCTAGGTTAATTTAGCTCTACCACTTAGGCAGTATTCTTCAGTATTTTTTTTTTTTTAAAGATTTTATTCATTTATTTGACAGAGAGTGTGAACGCACAAGCAGGGGGAATGGTAGAGAGAGAGAGAGAAGGAGGCTCCCCACTGAGCAGGGAGCCAGATGCGGGGCTCAATCCCAGAACCTTGGGATTATGACCCTAGCTGAAGGCAGATGCTTAACCGACTGAGCCACCTAGGTGCTCTGAATATTCTCTTTAATGATAACTTTTATAGTACAAGGTTTTCTACTCTTGCTGAGAGGAAACTTGACTACTCCCAGCCTTGTGTGAGCTTTGAGATTGTTTTGCATGTTCGATTCTCATAATTCCTGGCTTTGGGTGGTTGTCTCACGTACATGCAGCAATCATACTTAGCTGATGACTCTTGCAGCAATACACTGATATTGTCTAGGTTTATTCTCTGTATAGTTGTCTTTTCTTCATGTATGGTCTTCCCTTTTTGGTACTGTACATTGCGAATTATACATGTCTTTGCCTCCCCAACTTACCCTCTTTTCTCAAATCAGGGAGACTTGTCAGGCTACATTTGGTTCTCCATCCTTGCTTTGAAGCCTGAAAATTCTCCAGGTAGTAAGACAGGATAATTATAAAGATTTTCTCATTTGTTTCCCTTCTTTCAGTAGTCTGTTTTTTGCTGCCTATTTGATGTCTGAACATCATTGTTTCATATATTTTGTCCAGTTTTTAGTTAATGTGGGAAGGTAAATTCTGCCAACTGTTATTCCATCAGAGCTAGAAGCAGAAATCCTCTCTTAAAAGTTCTATTGTTGCTTTTTTACAATCTTGCTTTGAGAAGTGTGATGCTACTTTTATTCTATTTCCCATATATTGTTTGGTCTCATAAGCTATGGACTTTTTCTTTAAAGTCTGCATATTAAGATACATTTCAGAGTGGATCGTTAGGATTCATTTCTCACGTGTTCAGTTGTTCTTTTCATTATGTGAATTTCCAGAAAGTATTCTTAGATTATAATTTAAAATAGTCTTCTCTTTTGTTTTCCATTTCAAGGTCTCCAATTCTTTGTTTATTGGATTTTCTTTACCTGTTTCTACTTCAACTGCTTTTCTCTGATTTTTTTTTTTTTCCCCTCATTTGGTAATTTTCTAGCTTTTTCTTTGCCCTTATGAAATTTAAAAAAATCTTTTATTGGGGGTGGCATCTGGCTGTCACAGTCTGTTAAGTGTCCAACTCTTGGTTTTGGCTCAGGTCATGATTTCAGGGTCATGGGATCAAGCCCTGCATTGGGTTCTGCACTTAGCACAGAATCTGCTTAGGACTTTCTCTCTCTCCTTCTGCCCCTCCCTCTTTCTCTTTCTAAAATAAATCTTAAAAATTTTTACTGGGGTAGAGTACACATGACATTTGCCACTTTTAACCATTTTATTTTAAATATTGTCTGCCCCCAACTTGGGCTCGAACTCACAGCCCTGAGATCAAGAGGCGCATGCTCTACCACCTGAGCTATCCAGGCACGCTGCCTCTTAGGAAATTTTTATTTTACTCTGTTCTTCCTTGAGCACTTATTTATTCTTCTATTCTAATATCCTTTTCTCTGAACTAAATTTTTTTTCCTTATAATTTCTGTTCATAGTTTTTTTTAATTTCTGAGTCTGGGTACAAATGCTTACTAATAATATAATTCAGTATTGTAATTTGTTTATGCCTTGTGTTTTTTTTTGTTTGCATGGGGCATCATCATCACTTGAAATGTTTTCTTTTATTCTGATTTTGACTCATAGTAGCTTGGCATTGATGAAAACAGTATCTTTGTGAATTTGGTTGTTGGCAGTAGTTTATAAAATTACTAGTTTAAGAATACTTTCTTCTGTATGCTGTAGGTGAAGCAAAGTGCAGTTTATTTAATGGATAATTTTTTAAGTAGTGCTGAGGGAGGAGTTGAGTGGTTTTATTTTGTTATATAAGATCCTCAGTTTCCCACTCTTACTTTTTCCTCCTAACACCCAGTTTCCAAAGGATGTCTCTACCTGCCTTTTTATCTGCTTCTTGTGTATTTCTTTTCCAAGGTGAGCTTCTTGAGCTTTGTGTTTATATTAAGCCCCCTCACTGTAGTCAGTGCTCTGACCTACCAGACTCTTTATCTTAACACGTAGTTCTGTCCCCTCTTCTCTCTTCCATGCACTTTTTTTCTGAACCCCATAGTTCCTTAAAAGGACTTGATATGGGAGCCCCAGAGTGAAAACCACTGGAAAGTGGTTTATGTTTTTCTTCCTACAGGTTATTTGAAGTTTATAGTGTTCTCTATTTTCTGATTTTGCCAGAGACATGGGTATTTTGTGGTTTTAGTTTTTTTTAAGACTTATTGTAGAGAGAGTAGGGGGAGGGGCAAAGGGAGAGGAGAGAATCTGGAGACTCTGTGCTGAGCATGGAGCCCAACGTGGGGCTTGATCTCATGATCCTGAGGTAATGACCTGAGCTAAAACCAAGAGTTGGATGCTTAACCAACTGAGTCACTCCTGTTTTAGATGTTCTTAAATATTGATCTATTTGGGGGGATGTATGGAGAGAGTCTGATTTAGGCAACTGTCAGTACTTTGTTCCCTACAACCTGGAAGACCTGCTTCTTAAGAGCAATTAACATTTTTTATATGCTTTAATTAAAAAAGCTAATTTTGGACATTTTCTTGAATCAGAAATATTATGGCATGTAACATAGCATTTGACCTTTTAAAATGACTGGATTTTGCAAATAAGGGTCTTTGGAATTTTATCCTTTCAGATAACAGATCAGTAGAGTAGTTTTACTATTTTTCATGTAAATTCTGAATTCCAGATTGTTCTTACACCTATGTGTGGGATGTCTATAAAGTTAAGTTAAAGTTACTACATAATACCTTCTAGTGCTTTAATGAAATAGTGAATTATTGTTACTTGACCTTTTGAAAAGGTCAGTAGTACATTTTGTTTCATTTTTTTAAAGGACATTTAAATGTAATGAAAGTCAGAACTGTAATATTATCATGAAAGTAAAGGTTATGGGGTACATTTAATTGTGTTCCTTTAGTTTTGAATCTGCTTTGAGGGAGCCTGTGCTAAAATTCTCATGGTGATTATTTTTCGAGAATTTTATTACTCTTTTTCATTTTATATTGTTGGAGTAAAAGATTATATTTCTGTTTGTCTTTTTCTGTTTATCTTTGCTCAGATCATGTGTATTATCCTATTTAAGATATAAAGTTTAAGCTGCTTACCCATTCACTTTCTCAATAAAGTGAAACTGAATGTATTTCTCAGAGAACAGTTCTTTCCTTAGAAGGACTCTTGAGTAAAATTTGGTATATTCAAATGTATAGCTAGCAAATATTTAAATTAAAATAAGTATTAGTAATTTTATTTATTAAAGGCCCATGAATGTGGGAGAATTAAATATTCTGTTTTTTGAAAATATTTCTTTCATGTCTGTGTTCAGATTATGGAACTAAATATATTTTTCATTTTATTAAAATGAGGAAATTGAAAATATGAAGTCTGTAATGTATTACATATTCTTATTTTACACTGATTTTTTTTCTCCCATAGACAAAGCTATTAAGAATTTCTTTTTTTCACAAGTTTACTTTGTAAGAAATATTTAAATTTATGTTTGCACTAACAGTTTCTTAATATTTGTGTTCTGTGAATTGATTCTCTTTAAAAATGAAGTCTTATCTTTGTTTTGGTTTCCCAATGATTACAAAGTTTCTGACATTTTTACATTATTTTCCTTCAAATGCAATATTCTATTGCATATATTTTAACAAACGTAAAGATTTGGATAAAGTTGATACCTTTTAGAAAATAAAGGAAAACATTTCCTTTTCTATGTGATTTTTGTTTAACTTTTTCTTAACATTGTGAAAGATGAAAATTTGAGTGAAATTTTTCAATATTTTCCACAGGGACGTGATTTTCACCTTAGAATAGTGTTGCCTGAAGATTTACAAATGAAGAATGCAAGGTGATGTAGTGTTTTGTTATATACATGCATCTTGGTGGGATGGGCAGTCAGCTAATTTGGTAAAAGCTTATTCTAACCATTAAGAGTTTTGCCTAAAGTGCTTATTAGTCAACCACAAACATTTCCAGTTTTTCCAAATCAGTGTACATTTGTAAGTTTTCCATTGTGCTGAAGTACTTTCCAAAGGTAACACATTAATTTTCTAATTTATTTTTCCTTTTAAAGCTTAAATAAGTAGCAATTGTGTAAGATATCTGTTGGTACAGATAACCTATTAAGGAATGTCAAGAGATGAGCCTGGAAATTAGGTAGCACCTAGAAATTCTTTTCTGCTCTTAAACATCTGAGAGAAGAGTGGAGGAAGAATCCAGAGACGTTTATTAGTAGAATTGACAGGATTTTGTGACTGATTAAAAGTAAGTTCCTGGCTCAGATCACTAAGTTAGAGAACAGGTCACAGTGGAGAAGTAGGACAGCCACCATTTTAAGACATATTAGGTGTGAAATACCAAGAGGAGATGTTTAATGTATTGGTGTGGAACTCAAGTGTGAGACATGGAATCACAGTGGGCATGGGATTTGGGGCTGTGAGTATGAGTATGGATACTTTCCAGTGCCTGCAAGTGTGGGGTGAAAAGAGAAAGCCAACATTTAAAAGACTTGAGAGTATACCAACATGTAAAGAGCTGATAAATAAAGAGGAACTTGGAAGACTAAGGATTGACCAAAGAAGTAAGAGGAAAGTCTGGACAGTTGTTGCTGAAGCCAAATAGAGGCTTAATGAGGAAATGGTTCCTAGTGCTGAGTATTGCAGAGGGATCAGGTTAAATTAGGTTTCATGTAGTGGCAGAAGCTAGATTGTATTGGGTTTTGGAGTGGGTGAGTAGAAAGGAAACGTAAACAGTATAAACTACAATTGACCCTTGAAGAGCCTAGGGGGTCAAGGGCATCGACCCTTCATGCCCTTGAAAATTTGCATGTAACTTTTGATGGCAGAAATTTAATAGCGTGCTATTGACCAGAAGCCTTACTGTTAACATGAACAAACTGTTTAACACTTGCATGCTTTATGTTGTATTATAGACTATTCTTAAAGCAAGCTAGAGAAAATGTTATTAAGAAAATCATAGGAGGAAATGCATTTGCAGTACTGTATGTATCTTTATTGAAATAATCTGTGTGTAAGTGGATCTGTGCAGTTCAACCAGTGTTGTTCAAGGATCAACTGTATTTTGAAGAAAAGGAGTGGTAGAGAAGGGTATGCAGTCAAGGAAGAGTTATAATCTTGTTTTTTTGAGATTTGCTTGAGCAAGTTAATATATTCTGTTGAAAAAACTAGCAGAAAATAAGAATATCACAATAAAGAGATGATTAATGAGTTGATATGACCAAGTTGGTGGCAAGGGAAGGAAAGTACATTTGGAGAGGGAGTTTTCCCATGGGCAGTTAAATGAACTACTTTGCCATTAAGAGAGAAAATAGGGGTGGAAATGGGGGTTAGCATAGCAAAAATGGAAGAGAGTCATGGTGATCTGAAAGGGCTATAACTGGGGAATCAGAGGGGCTTCCTACTTCCAGGTAGGGAAAAGCAATTCTTAGAAGAGTTATACTTACTTAAGCAATATTGAGAGCACAGCTGGGGTGAGCCAGTGGATAGATGAACACTAACTACTACTCACACAATTAAAAGTATCTTTTACATTAATCTTGAATTTGGAGATTATAGTGCTAGATATGCTTTCTCAAATACAAGTTCTGTATATTATGATCAAAACTGTTGGTTTATTTAACCTACCTTAGAGAAGAATCTAGTTCAGTAGAAAATTCTGCTTTGGATATGTTAAAAAAAAAAAAGATTTACTGTTTGCATGTCATTTACTGATTGCAGTTATTTATATTTTGAAATAAAATTAGTACTGACAGTTTGAAGACAAGACTTTCAACAGTATTAGTGGTAAAAATTTTATTAACTTGTCAGAATTATATTTATGTCATTCTTTTCTTTGTACGTGCATGTTTGTGTTAGCATACAAATAAATTTTTTCCTTTTAATTCTGAACAATGAACAAACCATTTTGTTCCATTAAAATTTTAGATTATTATGTAGTTGGCAACTGAGAGCAATACTTAATGGATACCATCAAATAGTACAACAGGTAAGTCCTTTAAAAGGTTTGTTTTAAGCAAGGATAAGAAATTACTAAATTAACTCTTTTTTAGAGGACTACTTGCAGAATGTTGTAACAGACTGGTTTAGTAGTTGCTGAATTTTATAGGTTTCATCTCTCTTAAATATTTTAAGGATCCATGCATTATATGAAATGTTTTCTGTCTTGGAATCCTCAGCACATTTCTGGTCAGCATTTGTTCTGAAACTGATTTCCATCCTGGAGACTTTAGGGTCTTCAAATGTATTCACCCTTATATCCATATCTATCACTTTTTGAGCGATTTTTTTTTTTTTGCTGAGGCTGAATAGTGGTAGTAAGAAGAAATCCAGGACCCATTTTGGAGTTGTAGAGTATCTGTGGCAAAAATGGGAAGGTAGTTTTAGATTAGTAACAGAAGAGATGTGGTGGAGATCACTTAGGATCATCTATATGTACTTAATGAACATGGATGTAAATACAGCACAGGTGAGATAATAGGCAGGATTAATCTTTTTTTTATAACTGGAAGTTTGTATTATTATTTTAAAAGATTTTATTTATTTGAGAGAGAGAGAACGGGAAGAGGGAGAAGCAGACTCCTTGCTCAGCAGGGAGCCTGACGTGGGGCTTGATCCCAGGACCCTGAGATCATGACCTGAGCCGAAGGCAAACGCTTAACTGCTTAACTGACTGAACCACCCAGGTGCCCCTGAAAGTTTGTATTATTGATCACCACCCATTTTACCCTCAGCTCCAATGTAGTTATTCTAAAAGTTTAGGTTCTTCTACCTGAAAATTCCTTTAAAAATTAGGAAAACTTAAAAAAAAAATCACTATTACTAAGAAACCGAAAGTAATGCAGTGCCTCTTGTAGAAAAATAAATGTAAGTAGAACTGCATTTCTTTTGATGCTTTATTCATTTGTATGTTTTTCCCGGTTTCCTATATTTTTTCTATCTTAAAAGCAGGTTATTATCTATGATAACTGACAATGACAGTCACTCACATAAAGCATTACTGAACCACAAAGAAATATAGGAGATAAACTATTTGATTTGTAGAATGTAGGCTGTCATTGCTGGCAGCATAATTACTGCAGATTTTTAGGGGGATGTTTAAATTATTTCTCTTTTCTCTCCACTGCCTCCTCCTCATCCAGTGTGACTATTTATATTGTATACTAGAGTTTAAAAAATGAATGTATTGAGATATTTAAATAGCCTGGAAAAAACTTGTTAATAAAGACTAAGTATAATAATATCTGTAACTGTTTTTCTCTACCAGTTCACCAAGAGGGGTCCTAGAAAAAGTCCCAATTACTTATTAATCTCTTTCCTGCCCTCCAGTTGCTCATATAGAACCCAGAGTTAGTTTGTCTTTGGTTTATTCTAATATTACTGTTCTTTCCTTGTATCGATTTTAACTTTAGTAAATATGGGTCAGGGGAATCAGCAGTCATTTTCTGTGAATAGCCAGCTAGTAAATTTTTCAGGCTTTGGTGGTCCCTAAAATCTCTGTCACAACTACTTCACTAGTAGAACCAAAGCAACCATAAAGAGGTAAATGAGTGGGCGTGGCTGCATTTCAATACAGCTCTATTTACAGAAACTGTTTTTGGGCTGGATTTAGCCCCTAGGCTGTAGTTTGCAAAAATCTGATATACTAGTAAGCTAAGGGGGAAAATATTATATAGAAGATGGGAAAGTCAAAGATTTGTTTTACAGACTTGCCCATCCAAAGCTATGTTAAGATGTGATTCATATGTCTCATGCATTGTTGAAATATCTTTAAATTATTATTTTTCTCCTCTAAAAGAGGGAACAAATTCACAGATTGGCTTTGTTCAGAACTCTGTGGTGGTAGTGCGGGTATCACAAAAAGTAACAAAAATACAGTATTTTGACTTCAAGCAGAGAAGTGATGTGGAGTTTCATCTAATAAAAAATGTTACACTTGAGAATTTGCTTTGCTTTCCTTTATTCTATAGTTATTTTAGGAATCAAAGATTTCTAGGAAATGGAATTATAACTCTTAAATATTCATCTTTAGAAGTTATTTCCTTTTTGCCTTTTTATTACAGTGGTTTTAGTTTAAAGATTGACTCCTTTTGAATTAATATGGGTTAGTTGTGAAAAGACAAAATTAACAATTGTACATAGTTTTTAAGGTCAAGGGGAAAAATGAAAATATGGTATTGATTAATAATTCATCACTCTAATTAGATTTTTTAATTGCATAGATTTGCCTGATTTTTATTTTTATGTTCTTTCCTCTCCACCCCTATACCACCTTTTTTTTTTTTTTAAATAATGATGTGGTTTGGTAGATTTGCTAAACTTGATCAGTTGTCAGTGCCGAAGGAACAAAGGAGTGTGTGAGATTTTAAGAGATTTTTAAGTACAATTCAGTATAGCTCACCAAAATAGATTTAAGGGCATTAATTACTCTTTCAAAATGAAATTGGTAGGTACAGTAGGAATGGTGACAAGTACTTTAGTTCTTAAACTTTTAAGATGTAGATATATATGATATTTTTTTCATGTTCACATGGACCTGTATTTTAGTTCAGTTTCATTCATTGTACAAATGAAATTAATTAGAAATGTTTTGATCTAGAGAATGCAGCACTCTCCTGATCTAATGAGCTTTATGATGGAGTTGAAGATGATTTTGGTAAGAATTTGTTTTCTAATACCATATTCTATAAGTCCTGATTTTTTTTAAATTCCTGTAAAAACTAACATGATTAGAATTTAAAACTAAACTCCCAGTCACTTAATGTTTTATTTTACTGTGTGTGTAAATGTGGATGATGCTTTTTTTTTTTTAATTACATGAGGAACAGAACTGTTAGAGGAACCAGATTGATTGTGTCAAACTGAGTACACTTGATGCTAGTCTGGGACAGGTGGTGATATAAAATGTACTCCTGGTCTGTCAGAATTTAACACATATGGAGAGATTAGGTAGCTACACTTAAAGATCTAATACAGTGTATAAATAATTTTGTACATAGCTGCAGATTTCTGAAGAACTTGTTAGGCTTCATTACATACATATAGTTATGTATAGTAATTGAGTATTCAGTTAATCAGTTATGCATAAAATACTTGAGTTTTTAGTTTATCTATAGACATTGTATTATTTAAGAAAATTTTTATTACGCAAGTTTTCAACATAAACAGAAGAGGGAAGACTGTATAGTGAATACCCATGGACCCATGACCTAACTTTAGTGTTTTGCTGTTTTTCTTCCCCTACTCCTTAAGGAGAAGGGACTAGAGTATTCTTTTTTAGATTTATTTGTTTGAGAGAGAGAGAGAGAGAGTGTGCGTGCAAAGTAGGGCTGAGAGAGGCAGAGGGAGAGAGAATCCTCAAGTGGATTCCTGCTGAGTGTGGAGCTAGCCGCAGGGCTCAGTCCCAAGACCCTGAAATCATGACCTGAACTGAAACCAAGAGTTGGACACTGATCCGACTGAGCCACCCAGGTGCCCTGTGACTAGAGTATTTTTAAGGAAATCCTGAACATTGTATCCATCCGTCCATGAACATATTGGTGTATACTTCTAACAGCTAAGTGTTTCTTTGTTATGTTTTGTCTTTAAATATGCTGTGATAACCCCGACAAACTTAGTGGTAGTTTTTTATAGCTGCTTGTTTGTGTCTGTATGCAAACAGGGTCCACACATTGCATCTTGATATGTCTAAGTCTTAATTTTTAGCAGTGCTTTGTCTTTCCCCTACTCCTTTTTTTTTTAATCTACAAGTTAAATAAACTAGATTATGTGTCCTATAACATTTCTTGCATTCTTGATTTGGTTTATTAGATATTCATAGTATTTTCTAACATATTCTTCCTTTTTTGTGATCTAGTCTCATTTGTTCTGGTAAGAATACTTTGTGCTGTGTACTTGCAAGAGGAGGCACATGGTATTTGATAGTTCCTCTCTTAGTAAAGATTGATCAGTTGGTTTAGATCCATCAAATATAAAGTTACTTATCAGCTTATCACCTAATGATTTTAGCATCCAGTGATAATCATTGCCTACATCCACTATTTCATTAGGAGTTGTAAATGGTGACTTTTTAAAATTCCATCATCTACATTTATTATCTGGAGGTCTTCTGTAGAAAGAACTTCCCTTCATCAGTTATTTGGTTAATTTGAGGTATAGCTCATACTGGAGAAATAGGTTCATTGCTTGTTTCTTTTCCTTTTTTTTTTTTTTTACAAAGATCAGTTTTTAGAGTGATGAGGTAGTGCCTAGCAACTGTCAAAGGGAAATAACGATTTTTTTTTTTTAGTATCGTTATGAACTCATGAGTTTTTATATTGATTTTAATCATTGTAATCACTATCCCTTTTGATGCATAAATTGTATCATTTTTGGTTAGTGTATGCCCCTTCATCTTGGCTCCTTAGTTCTTTTAACACCGCCCGGACTTTGCTTTCTCACACCAATTACCCCAGTTTAATGTACTCATCCTTTTTTCAGAACTATAATCAGTTACTTCTCCAAAGAGCCATGGTTTTTTGTAGGAAACAGTGTTTTGATGCCACAGATCTGGAAACTGGAGTGTTGCTATTACTGGTAGTCCTTTTCAGTGGACAGAGCTAGGAAAAAATACTGTTTAGAAAGAATAATTCATTATGAGTTCATATTGACATTTCCAATTCAAATTTGGCATTATAACATTTTAAATTTTATTTTAATGCTTATATTTTACTCTGAAAATCTTGGTTTCTAATACTAACAATTTTGTATTATGTTTTACTTGTTATGTTTTACTTATGCTTTTCCTCTATCTCTTTTATATTTGTTTTACAAAATTACAGTACCAATATATTGCTACTAACAATTGAAAGCAGTTTATTTTTTATAATTCTTTTTGAGTTTTTTATTGTTGGCAGCAGTTGCCACATACTAAGAGCTTAGTTGCTCAAGTTGTTCGGAGTCTTTTTTTTTTAATCCTCATAACAACCCTCTGAGATAGGGCTTTGGTAAAATGTTTGGGATCAGAAGAAAGAGTTTAAAGTCAATTTCTGAAGTTTGAATTTTGACTTACAAATCTGTAAACCCTAAGTAATAAGAATTACCAAAATTGATTATGAATTTCATCAAAGGCCAGATTTCATGATAAGCTTAAAAAAGGTAAGATGAAGAAGTAAAGCATATTTTGGTTTACCTTTGACATTGCAAAAAAGTTTGAAAAAGTATTTTATTGGGGCACCTAGGTGGGTCAGTCAGTTAAGCTTCTGTCTTTGGCTCAAGTCATGATTCCTGGTCCTGGGATTGAATCCCACTTCGGTCCTGGGATTGAATCCCACATCAGCCTCCCTGCTCAGCGGGGAGCCTGCTTCTCCCTCTCCCTCTCCTGCTCCCCCTGCTTGTGCTCTCTTGCTCTCTCTCTGTCAAATAAATAAAATCTTAAGGAAAAAAAAAAAGTTTTCTTATCTTTTTATCATACTTTTCGTAAGCTATACAAATAAAACTATATCTACTGTCCCTTTAAGCTCTTATTACTGGCTTACTTTATGAGGTTGTAAGAACAGATCTATTGGTCATTTAATTTTGAAGAAACACTCATTAGTTTAAAATAGAATATTGACATCGATTTCTAACACTATTCTATTTAGTACATTTGTTGCTGCATTTCTGAATAAAATGACATGCTATATTTTAGCTTTCTAAAGAAATTGACAGAATTGGTGATAACTATTGCACATTTATGAACAGTATACCTAAAAAAAATAAGTATTTTATTAGTTTATTTGTTGGGCTGTGTTGTCAGTAACAGAGCTTCCTATAATGTAGACACCAATGAAAGTATTAAGGATGATGTCCAAATGAAATCAGTAGTTATTGACCGAGTTTCCTAGTAATAACTAGACATATGGTAGTTCAGTATATATTTAATAAATGAACAATTACCTGTATTTTATTTATTTTTAAAGACTTATTTATTTGAGAGAGAGAGAGAGCACACGTGCATGCAAATAGGGAGAGGGAGCGAGAGAATCCAAGCAGATTCTGAGCTGAGTGCAGAGTCTGCTTTGAGGCTTGATCCCAGAACCCTGAGATCATGACCTTAGCTGAAGTCAAGAGTCAGATGCTTAACCAACTGAGCCACCCAGGTGCCCCACAATTACCTGTATTTTAAAAGAACTGATGTGGCTAGGTTTCTTTCTTTTTTTTTTTTTTTTCTATTTTAGGGCTTAGTAGCTGTGTAGCTAAGGCCTTAAAACTAGGAAATGGTAAAGTTAGGATTTAAAACCTTTGTAAAGCCTGTAATCTTTCTAATACGTACCTTGCCTCTTCTCCACAAAGAATGCTTTGATTCTCTGCCTTTGCCCTTTTTCCTATTATGGTTCTGGAATAGGAAGGAGTAACTTGTCTGACCTAAGGTAGAAGGTAGAGTTTATGAATGTCATAAACCTTGGATTAAAATACATTTTTATTATCCAAATTTACCATCCATGTATGTGGATAGCAGTATTTAATATTTCTGGATTAAAAAAAATTTCAGGAGAATTGCTGAAGCTGTTTTATATGTAAGTATAGGAACTATACGGACTTGTTTTTTTTAGTAATAGGATAATCTTTTAATAGTAAAAATTTTTTATGGACTGTCAGGCAATTTATAGATAACATTAGGTATTTAGTTTATTAAAAAAGCAGTATACTCCTTGTCTTCTAGGAGCTTACCTTCTAATTAAATTCGAACTGACATTTTGGGCTTTACAAACCTGCTTTCACAGTTTTGTTGTTTTTATCCTAAAGCAGATTTCAAAGTAGTTTCAGTTAATAGTCCTAATTTTGAAATACTGTTTTGTAAAATCTTTCTAGTATTATCTCAATTTAATAGTATCCTATCCTTGTTTAAAAACAAAGTGTAAGGACTAATAGATTAAATATATACTTAAAGAAAAAAGAATTATACCTTTTATTAGGGTTACAGTTAACAGAAACATTGATAATTTTTATACTTGTTCTCATCTGGTTTTATTTACTGTATCTGACTTTTTTATTTCTTATTTTTTATCTCTTTTGATAAAACAGATCATATGAACCTCTGTAATTTGCAGATAGATTTATTTTTACTTTCCAAATAAGATGTTTGTCTAGGTTAGCACCTTTGAAGTAATTGATAATATTCAGCCTCAGCAATTCTAGTAATGTTTGTATTCCTTGCAAAAAAAAAAATTTTTTTTGGGGGGGGGGTTGGGATACATAAACCATCTTGAACATATCATAGGTGGGCCTCCCAGGGAAAGGAACTGTGATTCCACATAGATGGAAAAACACTTAACCTGGTCTGGGAGTAATAAAGAATGTAAGTCAGTGAAAGAGAGTAGCAGGTGATTATTTACTGTGGTAATAAAGGGTTTTTGTTTGTAAGGGTGTGATTCATAACTGTATACAAATATATCTGTCTAAACAATATACTTAAAGAGTTCAGGCTTTTCTTAAAGGTACATGTTTCTTTATATCAAAGTTACATCCGCAGGCATAGAAAAATAGTGACGCCTTGAGGGTATTTTTAAACTCTTGTCATCTCTGATAGGCATAATAGTCTAGGAAAATATTAAAGTCTGAAGTTTTTAAATGTGAAATTATCATTTTCACATAATAACCTTCAATGCTGTCTTTTAACTTTTTCCTGTCTTTATATGAGAAGGGGGAATGATTCAGCTGGAATTTCTATAAGAATACTGGACACTTTAGTGAGGCACAGAGGAGATTATGAAGTTGTTTTGTAATCCGATAGTAACAATTTACTGTCTAGCAATCCACAGCAGATTCAGTTTTTTTCTTTTAAACAGGAAGTTGCTTTAAAGAATAAGCAAGAGTTGTATGCACCACCTCCTCCTCCCCAGTTCTACGCAAGCCTTATTGAAGAGATAGGAACTCTTGGTTGGGATAAGTATGTCTATTTTAAAATGTTTCAGAAATGTCTTTTTTTTTCTTTTTTCTTTTTACACATTGCAGTTTATTTGCAGTTTCGGCAATTTATTTTTTACCTGTTTTTAGTCAGCGTTTCATTATAATTAGAACTTACTTGATTATAATTGATACCTGATCCTTATTGTGGGTATGAATATCATCATTAACAAACTGATCTACAAAGTAAAATAATAAAATTTTGAAAAAGAACATTTTTATGTATGAAGTAAGATGTTACCATATTTTTACTGAACATAAACGTTATTTTAGTTTTATTGAGGTATAATTGACAAATAAGATTGTAATATTTTTAACGTGTACAATGTGATGATTTGATTTACATGGACATTGTGGTAGGATTCACATAAACTCATTAACATATCTATCACCTCACATAATTGCTTTTTTTC